TGTAAACTTAAATTCTCATACAGATAGCTGAAGTAAGGCAGCGCTGTAACATTGGCTTTTTAGCTGGCTACACTTAACAGTGTATAACACTTATAAGCCTTTACTACCACACAAATACTTCATGAAAAATCTTCACATGAATTATGACTGCATAGTTTCTAAATGGCCAGCAGTTACAGGTAATTCAGTAGAAAAGCTAAAGTTTGATTTACATGGCAGCCAGTTTCCAGAATCAGGAGGAAGTTGAAAACAAAAGATACATTACAGGTTGTAAAAAGTTTTATTTTAAGTAAAATGAACTCAACAATTTCCCTTTGAAAGCATAGTCAGGCTGCAACAACTTCCAAATATAGCTCACTTCCTGAGGGGCTTGTAGTAACTTGTATCAATGCTGTATGGTTTCTGCACTGTGGAGACAGAAAATCTGGATTTTCAAGGAGTCTGACCTTTACAGAACACACTAATGATGCATAGGGATTTCCCCCCCACGAAGAACTGAACATGTGACTAAGTTCTGTTCTTCTGTAATGTGGCATCTGTCACATGCAGGAAATATGCTGTTAAGAAAACCATTTTAGCACTAGTGAGGTAACTTTCCACCATCTCAAATGGCTACCTGTTTCTCTACAATGGTTACATTAAGTTAGAACCAACCTTAACCTCATTCTGATGTGGTATGAGAAATACTCAAAAGGCTACCTTAAAAAAAAAAAAAAAAAATTGGTTTAGTAGTTCTCATCCTAGTTCTCCTGAGTCCCAGTGACCATCTTGCAGTTACAGGAACTAGCAGAAGCCTCTCAGCACTTGAAATCATTACACAGTTAAAAGACTTAGGAAGGAAGAAGCCGCAACAGTGGAAAATTGTACATCAGGGAGCGGACAGACACCAGAAGGTTGCTAGTAGGATGAGACTTTGTGAAATAAAAAATGTAAGGCCAAGCACTCCACAGGAGTCAATCTTCCTACATTTCCTGCAATGGCTTGTGTTATTAGAAAGGTAATTAAAGGAATGGAATAATAAATGGAAGTATCTACGCTTGCAATAACTCTGGGCTAGCCACAGCATTTCCTTTTCTAATGAGTCTAATCCTAAAGTGTTTTTTCCAAAACTCTTATTCTACGTGTTAATCAATTATCTGGGGTTGCCTGGTTTTTGCACTGTTTTCAAAAAATTCTGTGGTTTCCATGGGCTCAAGTGGGGTTTTCTGTAGAGAAGACAGTCCTCTTGCAATGCACTTAGTATGTCCTTCAACAGACCTTTGAAATCACTTCTTTGCCAAATCTCATCTCCGCGCTTGCTATTCTCATCCCTGTTTCAATTTCTTTTTTTTTTTTTTTTTTCAAAAAACTATAATAAATTTGGAATTTAACATTTACTACTTCTACACTAAACCATCCATCAGTTTTTAGACTAAGCTGATAATGACTAGCTCTTTGCTGCTGGAGTTCGGTGGAACAAGCTTCCATTTTTTTCATTGAAATTTGAGGAGTTAGGGGAATATTTAACTCAAGTTACTGGTAGAGAGCAAGTCCAAAGTACAGAGGGGACAGGAACAGATGCTGAAACAGGAAAAAAATCTCACCCATTGCCTGTAAGTTTCTCTGTGTGTCAAGGGACAGTGAAAGCAATACCTGAAACCCTGCTATTCCATGTAAGAGGCTGAAGAGTGCTCTAGTTCTCTTTACACTGATGCAGTGGCAGTAGTACTGTAGCTGCTCAGTTTAAACTTTTGCTAAAAAAATACTAAGCCCTCTAGGCCTCGCATCCTCCCGAATTCACATAAGAGGAACCTGTGTTACATACCGCACGTTGGACCACACATTGGCATTCAAAGCTTGTACAATTCGTTTCACTCCAGTGGACTCTGGAAAGTCATCTAAAGCAAAAGACAAAGACATTGCATAGACCAAAAACCACCATGTGCCTGAAAGTAAGAAGGTGTTTGTCTGAATGCCTGTCCTATCTTTATCACAATCGATATAAATTACTACTTTTGTTAGGAAACACGGATTTTTTGCCTTTGCTTCATGAGAGGCCACACAAAAAGAAATTAATGCCTCACTTCTTGGTCTAGGCTTCCAGGTATTATGAACTGTGAGCTCTCAGTCTTTTGTAGAGAGACATAAATTCTGAGTGGGGTTTTGTTAAATATTTAGCATGAGGCTGACACTGTTAAATAACATACAAGTAAATTTCATAGTAATAGACAATTTTTAAGTTGCTGTTAAAAGCAAGGCATCTTTTACCCCAAGATCTTTTAGAATGCTGTATGGCATAAAAATAGATGCTAGGATTACTTTTCCTTCCTTTAGAAACTAAAGGACTTCAGGCAACCATTTAAAAAAGGTGTGATGCTTGTTAAACATGAAAATGATCGCTGTAAAGCTCTCTCCACAACATCTAACTCCAAATGTTCCAGTAATCCTGTGAATTACAGTAACTTGAAACTAGGGAAAGCATTATTTGGACTTCAACTTATTTACTGAATAGATCTGACACCACTTTGTATAAAGTCAGTTTTCCCATTTCCTCAGTTTAGTCAGCTTCCCATGTTTGTGCAGCTCTCACAAAGCAATAGGGGAAAAAAAAACCCCAAACCCTTTGGATACAAAGATGTGATTGCTTAAAAATCACACTCCTCTAGGATGACTCAGGGACTCGTGTAGTAATTGAAACTGCCTTTAAAAATTAATTTAAAGCTGTCTATGACCCCTTAGATCAAATATTTTGCCCTCTACGACACTGCTGTTTGGTTTTGTATCAGGGTTGTTATCAAGTCTCAGTTTAGAGTTCTTGTCCTTACTGCACAACTGACAGTGCAGTCATAGCAAGAGCTTTGGTTCATTTGTGATAAGCTGCCAGAAATGTCATAATTTTTAAACAGGTATTGGCCCAGCATGTTTACTGCATCCATTTTATCTTTTGTAAGTAATTCATACAGCATGTTTATGCAGTAAATATGTTAGTCAGCAGAATACATTTCCTCCTATGCCTGAGTCACAGTGAATCAACTACCTTATTAAAAATCCAGGAAAGAACATCTATCGTAATACTCCAAAGATTAACATCCTGAGTTGTTATTATTCCCATTATTTATATTATTTAAATAGTAAACAGTTTGTTCTTTACAACAATTATTCAATAGAAAAAAACCCTTGACTTAATGTTACTAGTATTTCCTTTTAAAGCTCTTCATAAGAAAACTTTAGTCTAGGGGGTATCCACTTCTGATTTTTCTGGTTTCTGTAAATCAGAAGTATGTGTATCCCTCCCTCCCTGACTACCAAAGTGTCAAAAAGAAATGTATTTTTAAATTAGACATGGCAGGGGGAGAAGGGGTGATCTTAGCTACTCAAGATACAATTTTTATTTAGGCCTTTAAAGGGGGGAAGGGGTGGGACTTGAGTTCTAGCTTAGGCCTTTAGAATAAATTATTTCTGGTGACAGCTATGTACTTAGTGAACCTGAAATAGAGCAAATGTGAGTGACTAATTCCACTCAAGCCTGGAAATGGAGTCAGTTATCTCATTTTGGCTCTACAGCGGTAAGATGTAAACACTTTTTTGTATCACTGAAATGAGGAGGTAAGGCTGATGCTGATAAGGCTGTCAGGAAGTGCACAGTCACTTTTCAAGAGTGGAACATCACACATCACGCTTGTGACTTTGCTTGATGGGTTTTTTCTACACGTATGGTCAGCCAGTGATTTTGAAACTGGCTTATTTCCTGTGTAACAGTGCATGCAATTATAAAATGTTTTTAACAATCTCCCCTTTTCAGCCTATCATGTCACTGTTTGAATAATGTCTATCTTCTCTTGGTAGGTACAATAGTTTTTAAAGTCTTTTTAAAAGACAAATAATGTTCCTGCTCTTGTGCATCTCTCTGGTTCTTGTTTTTTAGATTATTTCCAAAGTGGAATATAAATGCTTCTAATCTATCAATACAGTCCTAGGATTAGTGCCAGAAAAAGGAGCAGATATTATTTTTATGTAGGTGCTACATAAACAGCAGCTGTATTTGGGAGGAGACAAATGGAATTTCTTGGAGGAAATAACCTCCTCCTCCTCCTGACCTTTTATAGCTGAGACTAAGCCTCACCAACTGGGAGCATTCCATGCTGTAATTGTGTAGCACATAACGTTATGCCCCTTGCAATTGTTTAGAAGATATTTTGGTATGCTTTTTCATCCTACAAATTAAAACAGAAGTAGCAGTCCTACCATCTTCATCAGGCAGTTCCTCAGGGCTAAGTTCTACCAGTTCAAAGCCGTGCTTGATGCACCATTCTTGAGCTTTCTGTCTGTTGACACCTAAAGTTGGGAAACAAAAATGTGTACTAAGCATACATGTTTGAGACTAATAGCAGCAGCTGAATCTTTAGCTACATTTTATTCCCTTGGTTGTTTGCTTATTCTGGATTGTATGGGGAAAAAGTATATAGTAGCTGGCATGGGTCCTCTATTCACTTTGAATTTGATTCCAAAAACTCCAGAGTGAAACAAACTCCTCCTTTGAATTGTGGGTGTGTTTTTTTTTTTTAAATACCATAAAATCAAATGGCTTTGCAGTGGGTACTCAAAAGGAAATGTAAGTGAAGTGCCACAGTGAATGAAGACTTCTATTAACTCTAGGTTTGAATCTGAATTAAGTTACGGGGACGTATCTGCACCTTATAGCTTGCTGTTGTGTTGCATATACTAATCTAGAACCAAAGCAAACACATGTATTTAATGTCCAGTCAAAAAAAATCAATGTACTTTCCACTGTAGTTAAGCAACCAACAGTCATCCTCATTCTTCACCAGAGAGGATCATGCACGTCCAGTAATACGAATGCCTTTTTAGTTACTGTGCAGTGCGTGCTGGTATACTAGGAAATGGGATACACAGAGCTCACTTAAAGCAAGCTTGTAAAATTCTGATTCAGTTTTAACCACAACTAGCTTAAGACTCTTCTGTTCCTGGTTGCGAGAGTAACCTGGCTCTTATCAAGTAAATCTCAAGCCCAGTCTCACACATTCTGAGAAACAATTGTGTTGATTTAACTAGAAAATAAATTATTAGGCAAGGTTAATAACTCTAAGTCAGTTTAGAACTTCTTTGGGTTTCATACCATTTTCAGATACTCTGTTACAAACCAGGATCATGACTTCTGGTAACCACTCTTCTGTCAGGGGAAGCCATTCAGAGACACTATCAAGTCCAGATTTCTAAAGGGGGGGAAAAAAAAAAGTTCTTTGGAATACATCCTCAAATACTTTAGGTTTTAAACTATTTTTAAATCATTAATAGTATTAGAATAAAAGCAATGAAGTAAGGAAATATGCTAGACTGCAGATCAAGTATGTTTAAGGCACTTGTGTTCTAATCGGAGAAGCTGACTTGTATACAACTCCCTTCTGATTCTTGACTTACCTTACAGATGAGTTAATGCCTTGGACAACCCTTTCATGTTTAATTATGCAATCCGAGTGTAGTTCAGGAAAGACTTTTACTTAATCATGAGTATTTCACTTTAAGCATATCTCGAGTTTAATGTGCAGCTACTCCATCTTCTACACTGAAGTGGATGTTATGGGGGCTGGTGAACTACTCCCATTGCTCTAGTTTATTCTGAGACAGCCCTGAAGTGTCTGGTTAAAGGTATCTTTGCAGAATGTGTGGTATGCACCCTTCCCCATCTGTGGTGAAAAACAATTCTTTATTTAGAATATTTTTTCCCTCAATCTTTCTGACTTTTGCTAAAGCACTGTTTTCACTGCTGCCGGTTAGTAGAAACAATTTGGGGTAAAATGATAGCACTGAATGTTTAGCTCCTTCATTCTTGGCTATCCTAAAGCAGCCTTTCTGAACTAGCATCAGCTAGGAGTAAAGTTGGAGGTGGCGGGCTGGAGGAGGATTTGCCTAACTTAGTTGCATATTTGCATCCTGAAAAACCTCTCTTCCAGCTGGATTATAATAGTAAAAGGGAAGGAAACTGCTTCTGTTGTTAGCAAGCATAATTTAACGTTGATCTACTGACAATTAATAGAACAGCCTAAAATGGATGGCACAAGATTAAGAGAATATAATGCGTGGTTATCACTGTGATAAGGCAACTATATCATACAGATAAAGCAATGTAACGAAGCAGAAGAGTCTTACTATTGTGCTGTCAAAGTACACAACGAATGCTTGCACAGATTCAGCAATATCTCCAGTCACAAGAAATGTGTTTGGTACTACACAGAGGTGAATATCTGCAGAATAATATTTATTATCTATTGTCCAGGGGTAAAAAGTCACTCTTCCACTTGTAATTGCACCCACAGTAAGGTCATCTTTTCCTGTGATACCTGTATTGGAGAAAATGAAAAAGACAGATGATAAGAACAGCATCAAGAAAATAATTTGTCCAGAGAAGCTTGGTGCTGTACCAATACAGAGCCATCTTCACTTACTATAATAAAACAGCATATATTTAACACCTTTAAAAATTTAAACTCAATTTGTTACTCTGTCCTAGAGTTTATTATTTAGCCTTCAAAAGAGTTTATTATTTAGCTTTCAAAATAAAATATGGTACAGAAGCTCTTCAGAAAGCAAGCCTTTTTTTCCCTGGAAATGCCTTTTGAAGTGTTAGCCTCAAACTCGCTACCTGTAAACAGGATGTATGGAGAGAATACCTAGACTTTATTACAGCAGAAACAAACCTTGCACGTTTGTTCAGATGTAAAGAACTGTTTGACTGTGACCAAAACCTGAAGGTAACTAATGAGAAAACAAACCGAGTTACTACAATTCAGTTGTAGTTCCCATTAAATTCCATGTAGGAGTCCGGCAATTAAAATCCAAGGCAGTGCTTTGATAATGTAGTGTTAAACGCTGCCCTTCATGTGCTGGTCGCAACCTTCACAGCGCACGCTCCCATAGCATGACAGCCACCTGCTGGAGCTGAATTCTAGTCGGTAGCAGAGCACCCATCTATACCTCGCTGGAACGGGCAGAATATCTTGCTCAGGCCAGACAAACCTGTGGACACTTTAAAACACAGGTCAAATATATATAAAATTGAGTAATCTAGAATTTCCTTGGCCATCAGAAGAGATTAAAAAAAAACCAATGTGAAATAGAGTATATGGGTTTTTAAAGATCTTAAGGGTCATATAATTGTTGGACTGGATGATCTTAAAGGTCTTTTCCAACCTAAATGATTCTATATTTTAAAGGTACGGAGACAGTTCCTGGAGATGCTAGAACAGGCTGTTCCCTAAACCGTCTGGACATGAATTTGAAATTATCTGTATCTTATCAATGAAAAGGCAGGAAAAACTCCTTGCCAAGGCTGCCATAGGAAGGGTCAACGATTTTTTGCAACTAACTGCAAAGTCTGAGAAATCTAACTGGTGAATGAGCATGGTGCACAGGGTGGCACAGAGGAGAGCTCTAAACCAGAAGGATTATTTGCAGCAGTGAGGAGGATGATGGGGCAAATCTGAGGGAGAAATCCAACCTCAGAAACCTCAAAGGGAATCTCCTGTCCAGGTTTGTTTTTTTTTTTTAAAAAAAAGGAGGTGGTGGGGTGGCAAAAAAAGCCACATCTACATGTTTTTTCCAGGTTAAGAAAGTTTGCCTTTTTACTCTGACAATAGTTTTAAGAGTAATTGGTCTTCAGTCAGAAGCTGTTCTGTGATAAGACTATCCATGTCACCTTGGGGCTGGGGGATGATGGCACTGAGTCAATACCAAACAAACCTTGGCTCTAAACTTTGTATTCTTAGAGCACTAGCTTGTTCTATGAACAAATATGGAAGAGACTACCAATACAGCTAACCGAGATCAGTAATCTTGAAAGATTTTTGTTCTTTCACAGCTTTTTTTTAATCACTCTTAAGCAGTGCACACCAGTTCCAGCGGCACACAGAAGCTCTTTTCCCACGCTTCTCATAAAAACTTTTATGCGTGGGTCTCTGCTTGCCCTGCAACACTTCATAGCAATGCTGCAGTCACTTTGCAGCAGGTATCTCTATCCGGTTTGCATTAGCTGATATTATGCTCTACTGACATGAAGGAAATACCTATGCACCCATCTTCCAGGGAAACACAAGAATAGCTTTTCAGTTAGCTTTAAACCCAAGCTTTTCAATTTAGGCTACACAAATACATCAAGTCTGCTCTTCTTGACCACCACCACTCCCCCCGAGTAATTATTAAAACAGATTATCAAATGATACCATGTCACTTTACAAACTCTATAGCTTTAATGTACATATTCTGTCATAATAAAGGCATTTTGGCAGATGACAGGTTATTTTTTTCTGCTTAAAACAAGAGCTTTAAGAATGACTAGGTGTTAAGTGCTCTACTCGGCATAATTTAGTTTGGTATCTTTGGTAAACAGGACTCTAATATGTACCAACTGCTACTAGACTAGGAGTTTCTTTTAAATGGCTCTTAGGGCCAAGGGAGGTAGCTTTCACCCTGCTTAGATAGAATGTGACAAAATTATAGCAACTGGGAAAGGAAACAAGTTAGGCAGACAATGTCACTGTGCATGTCCAAAACACAGGGATGCCTTTTCTTTCCGGAATTATCTGCTGCCTAGCTTTTCAAATGCAGGCATAATCTTAATTTTCTGCCCTGGAAACCAGGTGTTTTGTTTGGAGGTTTTGAATGCTACATAAAATAGGCTGTAAATTTCCCTTCACTGGTGTTTTGACAGTTAAAAATAAATACCTAAATAAAAATCAGTTCTAAGCTAACAGAATTGCAAGTCAATGCCACAAGAAGTTGAGAATAAAGGAGCCCATAGAAATTATTGAAACACAGAAAATTAGCAATAGGACTCAAAGCCAGAGGGAGGAAAACAGGGTGAGGAAAGGAAGTCTGCTCAAAAGTCACTCAGTGAAGTTAGCCACCCTAGCAAGAATACAAAAGGAAAGAACTTCTTAAAAGATTTTCAAAATCTGATATGGAAGAACTTCCACATTTGCTTTGTAAGTGATTTTTTTTTTTCCTTACTAAAGAGTTCACGGACAAATTTAGGCCTCAAAATACTGCTTGAAGAATGAGGATGTGTTCCATTTTATTTACGTGCTACTTGCTCCTGTATTTTAAGCGGTTGTCTTTCATCCCATTGTGCTTCTGATTACCTGTCATTCATCCAAAGAGATTTTGCCAGTCCCCTGTGAAATTTCTCTCTCAGTAAAAATGGACGTTGCACACTAAACTTAAAGGATTGCAGGAACTTTCTGAGAGGATTCAGACTTGCTGTGTCTCAGCCTGCATGTAGGGTTGTAACAAATTACTGCAAACCAGTCTGATTGCTCATGGCAGGAAACTAAATTCAGTTTGGGTACCTTGTGAATAGTTCCCTTCCACAAAAGTCACTTAGGCCCATTAGTTTTTGGCCTTTAGAGTGAACAAACAGAGACTACAAAAGAAATAGACGCTGCAACTCAAACTGAGTTGTCAAGTATTCCATGTTGGATCTAGTTTTAAGGATTACATTACCACCTCTGGATTCCAGGAATTTCTTTCCAAGACAGCCTATACTTTAATGAAAAAAGTAAATCTGGCCAGAATAGTTTCATATCTAATTTTAGAGAATACTCATCGGAATAAACCCCACTAACTTGTATTTGTATACAGAATAAATGTCTAGAAAACCAATATGGCAAAAGGAGGTGGCTTGTCAAATTTATCTCTAGTGAGTTACTCATTTTTAATTTTAAACTCCCCAGCCATTGAAAGTGTCAGTGGTTTGCCATCCAAAGAGCCTGGAAAACCAACTGAGTCACTCTTTGACCACAACAGTAGGCAGACCTACTGGGCTGACTTAATTAGCTTGCCTTTTCATAGAGCAGAAGTGGCTTGTTTGGATGACAGGAATGAAAACGGACTGCAAATGCATCACCACTAGGGAGTACTAAAAAATGCATGGAAAAGTTCATGCCACAAAAGAACATTGCTTAGTGTCATTCAAAAGCATGATTTAGACTTCAGGGTCCTCTAAGAAATACTGAAACTACTAACGCTGGACACTTCTTTTACTGAAATAACTTTCACAATCTTACCAGTAACTGCTGAATACTAATTAAGATGTATTTCAGTATCCCACACTTCTGTATAAAAGCACTTTGGAGCAATAGAAGCTTCGTCTACTGTGTATGTACTGAATTATTTGAGGCTAGGGACCAAACAGACCATTCCTAAGCCGGCTCCAGTATCACCCTCGGGTCGTTACCTCCTGCATACTCGGCACGACTCACCTGTGCAACCTCCAGAGCCCCCGTACTAATGCCCACCTACACTAAGATCACCACATCTGTTGGACACGGACAATTATCCTCCAGTTTGTCCCAGTTCATGACTCACTTTGCCCATTTTCTATCAGAAAACCATTTAAGAACACAACAGCAACTGACACGAGATCAGTTCATGGCTCAATCCAGATAAGTGACTGGTATCATATAGCTCAATGAACTTCCAAACTTCTGTGGAATCTCTCCAAAGGAAAAGGGTTTTTTGGTTTTTTACTTGGAGTCAGTCAGTAGCTCATGTTTTTCAGCAAGTTTGTTAGTTGTGTCCTTTCTTTACTCACAAGTATCTATAATTTTTAATAAATTGGACAGAATTCTGAACAATATTTTTGGAAATTAATTTCAGCTATCTATTTACATTTTACTGCTTTAAACTTGTTGGCTTTTAATTTCATGAGCTTGCATATAGACAAGATAAAATTAAACAATGGTTCAGAAGACAAGGAAGAGGACATGGCAAAACTGTAAAACCGAACATCCACTCCCTTTTTGTAATACAGAGGCTTAGTAAGCATTCTGTAAGTGCAAGGCAGCAAATACTTTTTTGAAAGGAGAACTGGAGACCAGAAATAACGTTTCTGAAAAGAGCTGTACAATAATCAAAGAACCAGATGTAGGTCTCTTGCTGCCATGTCCCCTGTTCTCTAATACCCAACTGATATTTAAGCACTTCTACTATAGTGTGTGTTTAATAGTAATATTTTTTCAGAATCGTTACAACTCCTCTTTGCAGGTTTTTCTTCCAAAGGGATTAAGGTATTGATCAATCTTCCTAGTGTTTTTCAGGTTGAATGCATGCTGTAAGAATATAATTCAGTTTCCTGTGATGCCCTACATGATCTCAAGTCCTCTTCATTGGTAGGTACACCAAGTGGTTCTCACATTCTGGGCCTTGAGAGCCACCTGGTGGAATACACCATAAAAAATACTCCTGCAAATTACACAAGGAGTAAAGAGCACTCAGAAATATGCATTCAAGGTAGATATTTTGCTGGGGGGAAGGAGGGGTGTGGTAAACAGTCAAAAAAGAGGAA